TTGTGACTCTCCTCTGCATCTGCTCCAGCAGCTCCACATCCTTCTTATGTTACAGGGCTGTGTGGAGCAGTTTACTGTCAGCCAGGACTGATAATGCAGTAGAGAAGGTTTATCAGGTTAATGAGCGGTCTTTCTGTCTTCCTCTGAAATGCAATAGGGAATACATTATCTGCTTATGCAGTAGGAAAACCTCTACTATTATATTTCAGGAAAGTAATTAGTGGAAAGTCATGTGCTGAAAGGGAATTAAGTTGAAATTCTCATCCCAGGGTCCAGTGCCCCGATACCAAGTTATGGGAATTACCCATGAAATAAAAGTGGGCAGCTGAACAAAAGCACAGGATTCATATAAGAAAGGAAAGGAGCCGTGCACTTGCCCTTTGAGAACTGTACTGCTCTTGCTCCTGCATGGCCACCACGCACCGGGTCCTGACAGAGTCCCGAAAGGCAGAGGGAGGATGTTATCCCCATCAGCAATGTTAGAGAAGATGTTTTTACCCTGTGTAGATAACAATCTGTGCTCGTTGCATGTTGCTTTAGTGATACAGGACAACCAGAGTGTTTTTCTGCTCTGCCAGGTGGTGTGTGGATAGACATGTGTCCTCACACAAAGAACACGTCAGAAAATTCATCTTTCTATTGTTAATTACTGAAGAGAGAAAAGAAACTGCAGTTTGACATGGGCTTTATGTCTGATTTCTGATGTTGTTCCCAAATGGAAATAAAAGAGAGGGCCTGAAGGCAAGTTCCAGCTGCAACACCCACCAGCTGCTACCTTGCTCTGTGGCAGGACTGGTGGACAGCGTGCAGAGCTGAACACGTGGCACACCTTGTGCTGCTGGCCCGTGGTAGTGCCTGCCATCCTATAGGCCAGGGCCAGACATCAGGTATTTTTTCTTCCTTGCAGAGCAGTAAAAATAGCATTAACAGTGAAGACGTGCTCTAGCCAACTTTGAATACATGTTGGTGAAACAGAAGTTGGGCAGGGCTGTAAAAAATAGCTGCTTTGATGCTATGTCCCTAAACTTTATTTTAATCTGAAAAGCTCAAGAGGCTGATGAGGGGCAGGCATCCTGGGTTGCACCCTAAGATGTTCTACAGCTATTCATAGACTTAGATTCTTACCACAAGCAATTGTTTGAAACAAGAGCATACACATTTCCTGGGTCCTTGGAAAGCCCAGCAGCCCGGAACAGGCTTACCAGCAAGTCTGTCTGCTCTGTGCCTGAATGTGTGCACACCGAATAAGATTCTATAATTTTATTATGTCCATGTGGCTTTTTTTCTTCCAGTGATGTGGTGTTTGAGTGAGTATTTGCCCTTCCACACCTTTTTTCTTCTGTCGGAGTGCTCTCTGGTCTCATCTTCCTTCCCCTTCTCTGGGAAAGCAAGTCATGCATCAATTTGGGATGTCTCCTCCTGATGCTGCTCCTTCAGCACCTCGAGGCCTGACAGAGCCCAAGCACACTGGGATCAGGCCCTAGGCAGATTCTCTGTCTACCAAATCAGGGGGGACAGGACCTCACACCATGTTCTCATTGCCTGTGCCTATCACTGACAACATGAGCTCGTCATGACCTAGCTTTTCTATACTATCCAGCTAAGTTTCAAATCCTCTGCCTTATGATTTAACTTGTCAGGATATTGCATGTGTGCAGACAGACACATAGGTAAATTAAGGCACTTGATAAAATTTCTGAAGGGACCTTTGCTCTTCATTTCACAGCACAATATTTGCACAGTACATAATTTTGTTCAAATTTTGGCTCTTAATGGCCTCAGCTTTCTGATTAAGCCATGGAGTCCATTTGGTTGGGTGTAAGCCTGCAGTTTGTCTTTCCCAGTTTTGATACATACTATTGCCAAATCATCCACCCTCACCTTCGCAGGGAAATTTTGCTCATTTCTTTGCCCTTAATCAAATTAGGCATATTTTCTGCATCACTTTGTATCTTCCCTTTACATCATCTTTTCTGAAGTTTTTTTCATTGGCAGTTGGGAACTTTCTATATCCTACTCTAGTTCTGCTTCTGACAGAATGATACAAATGGGTTTTCATGAGCAAGAAACACCTGTTGTTGAAACAGGTTTTATCCTTTTGGATCACCATTCTCATCTATCCGTCTGAGATTTACTCTCTGCATGATTAAAGTCCTAATCTTTTCCAAATAGAAATAATGAAAAAATACCCTGGTTCCAAGATGTCAGTCAGAAGTAGAATCATAGAATCATAGAATCACAAGGTTGGAAACGACCTATAAGATCATCCAGTCCAACCGTCTCCTCATCACCATTGCCACCACTGGCACTAAACCATATCATGCAGCACATTGTTCAGACGCCTCCTGAACACTGCCAGGGACGGCGACTCCACCACCTCCCTGGGCAGCCATTCCAGTGCCTGACCACTCTCTGAGAGAAATAGTTCTTCTTTATGTCCAACCTAAACCTCCTCTGATACAATTTGTGGCCATTACCACCTGTCCTGCTCTTTGCCAGGGAGAAGAGGCCAAATCCCTCTTCGCTACAACCTCCCTTCAGGAGGTTGTACAGTGCAGTGAGGTCTCCCCTGAGCCTCCTCTTCTCCAGACAGAACAATCCCAGCTCCCTCAGCCGCTCCTCATAAGACTTGTGCTCCAGACCCCTCACCAGTTTTGTTACCCTTCTCTGGACACGCTCCAGGATCTCAACATCTTTCCTGTAGTGAGGGGCCCAAAACTGAACACAGTACTCGAGGTGCAGCCTCACCAGTGCTGAGTACAGGGGGATGATCACCTCCCGGCTCCTGCTGGCCGCATCATTTCTAATGCAGGCCAGGATGCTGTTGGCCCTCTTGGCCACCTGGGCACACTGTCGGCTCACGTTCAGCCAAGCACCAACCAGATCCCTCTCTTCTTCACAGTCATCCAGCCACTCATCCCCAAGCCTATAACGCTGCATTGGATTGTTGTGCCCAAAATGCAGGATGCAGCACTTGGCCTTGTTGAACCTTATCCCATTCACCTCAGCCCAGTGATCCAGCTTGTCTAAATCCCTCTGAAGGGCAGCCCTATCCTCAGGCAGATCAAGACCACCTCCCAACTTGGTGTCATCTGCAAACTTACTGAGGGTACACTCAATCCCCTCATCTAGGTCATCAATAAAGATATTAAACAAGATGGGTCCCAGTACTGATCCCTGGGGGACACCACTTGAAATGGGTCACCAGCTGGACTTCACTCCATTCACCACGACCCAATGGGCACGGCCCTACAGCCAGTTCCTTACCCAAAGAAGTGTATATCTGTTCAGACCGCGGGCAGCCAGTTTCCCCAGAAGAAGCCTGTGAGGGACTGTGTCAAAGGCTTTGCTGAAGTCTAGATAGACTACATTAACAGCCCTTCCCTCATCTATCAGATGGTCACCCAGTTGTAGAAAGAGATGAGGTTGGTCAAGCATGACCTGCCTTTCACGAACCTGTGCTGGCTGGGCCTGATCCTCTGGACACCACGCACATGCCGTGCAATCTCATCCAAGATGATTTGCTCCATAACCTTCCCTGGTACCGAGGTCAGGCTAACAGGCCTATGGTTCCCCAGATCCTCCTTATGGCCCTTCTTGAAGATGGGAGTCATATCAGCAAGCCTCCAATCCCCTGGGACCTCACCATTTAACCAGGAGAGTTGATAGATGGCTGAGAGGGGCTCAGCAATCACCCCTGCCAGCTCTGTCAGCACCCAAGGGTGCAGCCCATCTGGTCCCGTGGATTTGTGACAATCCAGACAGAGGAGGAGCTCTCTGACTGTCTCCACTGGAATTGCTGGGTGCATATCCTGTCCCAGACTTCCAGATCAGGGCATAAAAAACCCAGGGGACAACTGGCCTGGCTGTTGAAGGCAGATGTAAACAAGGCATTGAGGATCTCAGCCCTCTCCTTGTCCTCAGTGACCACCTTCCCTGCTGCATCAAGTATAGGATGATAATTATCTTGGTTCTTCTTTTGCTGTTGATACATTTATAAAAGGATTTTTTATTGTCTTTTACTGCAGAGGTCAACCTGAGCTCAAGTTGGGCTTTCGCCTTCCTAACTTCCTCCCTGCATACCTTAGCTACTTCTTTGTAATCTCCCTGAGCAGCCTGTCCCTTCTTCCAGAGGATGTAGACTCTCTTTTTCTCCCTGAGTCTCAACAGTAACGGCTCATCCACACCAGTTGTCTTCCCCTATGGCTCGCCTTACGGCACTCAGGGACAAATATGTCTGTGTCTTCTCCCTTATCCTTCACCTCTTACCCCTCATTCCCAATTGTTTTCCACTTGCCCCAATAGGCAGAGCAAGTACACTGGGGGCAATCTCAGAGATCAGTGGCAAGCCAAGGTTATGGGAAGTTACTACGTTTGCTGGTAGCTGGGATGACTTCCATTCTCAGAGGCCATTCAGTAACAAGAGCCATTGCCATAAAGACAAGCTCTGTGAATCAGGGCTTTGAGTTGCTCAGCAAAACCTCCTTAGAGATGAGGGATCCTCAGTAATATGCTGGGAAGCTCCTTGTTTTGGGTGAGAATTGGGAATTAATCTGACAATATTTGCTCTGCAGATGAGATGTTAAGGTAATAGAAAAACTGGGAGACTTGACTGAAGCACAGTGCAACAGTGACAAGGAACAGGAGCTACTGAATTGCAAGTGCACTCCAGTGAGCAGGTGCTTTAGCAATTTGTAGAAGGATAAATGAAAACTAAAAAGCTTTACCTCATGCTTAAAGGCCAACATGTAGGATGCCACAACATTGTGCTTTTAGTAGGAAAATCTCTGATCTTTCTTCTACAAAGTCCTAAGGCAAAATGTCCAGTGAACCATGGGATGGAGATGGATCTAAGACTCAGCAATGCTGCTGAGGGAATATTCAGTAATGAACTATTGCAGATGGCTATAATTATCAAAAAGGAAGTCATTTTTTCACAGTTGTAGAAGGTAAAAAGAGAGAGAGAATGAGGGTAAGACTATGTCACCACAACTAGGATATTCCTGAATATAGTCTCTTGAATATTTATTGTAATTGAAAAGAGAAAAAAAAAAGTCAGCAAAAAGAAAGCTAAACAAACAAAATCCACTTGGTATACAGAAGTCACATACGAACAGAGTATTTAATGGAATACACACAGTCTCTACGTCCACATATATTTAAAACTCTGCACATGGACAAAACTTGTACTTCACGTTCAGACAGGAACTCCTGTGGATGAATGCAGAAGATTCACAACATTTGTCACCCAGCAGCATTTTAAACTAACGTATTTTTCAGAACGACAGTCACTATATTGCAGAAGTAGCTGGTGGAGGAGGGACAGATTGAGTCTCATCCCCTCACAAATGTATCCTTAGCAAGAACTTGAACAACTTATTGTCATGAACAATTCAGCAAGTTAGCTTGAAGGAGCCAGAACAGCTACATATTTTCAAGGTAAGTATTTGTCCTTGTGTATATATTCATAGGTCAATAAGGAATAATAAAAATAGTAGGTAAAATTATCTGCCAGCCCTTGAATACTCAGGTCACTTAGCAAAATAAAAAATTAGGTAATATATCCCCAGTCCTGTAGCAGCCTGTATATATGCACTTAAGTGGTACTTCCTATTAGGACTGTTATTTTATCTGCTGCTTAGCTGTAAAGATGTCCAGAATTTTCTTCTTTTCCTAAGAAATCTCAAATTCTCTCAAAATTAATTTTCATTTTACCCCAAACTGTATAATTTTGCAAGCGCTTTCATAGCAGCAGGTATAAAAGCAGGAAGAATTTTAAGGGCTGCTCAGGTCATTGCAAGTGCTGTCCTGTGCTACTTAATGCAGTTTGGCTATTTGCTTTCTCAGAGAAACTATGTGCAGACAGGAAAGCCAATGGTTTCCAGCAGGCCTTAAACTTCGATTCTTTTCTTTGTAAGTCTAAGTTAAAACAAAACAAAACAAAACTCAAGCAACCAACCAACCATATGAGTTAACTTAGTATATTGTCTACAAAAAATGTAAAACTAAAAATATACTTAGACATCTTTTAATGAAAATGGGTTTTTCGAAAAATTTCAGTACAAGCAGTTACTCTCCTTGTCCCAGTCTCAGTGGCCTAACTTTACTTAGCAGATTTCCAGGGATCATGACACACTCTCTTTGAAATCAGAGGTATAGCAAGAATTAACAGAATAAGCTTCTCCTTCGTGGAGTCCATAGGCACAACTGGGAACCACTGGTGGATAGGTGTTTCAGGGTCAGAAGTCCCACAGGTGCCCTAAAGATTTGAGAGTTTTGCTGAATAGTGATGGCCTTGCTCATGTGCTTAGAGAATTATCAGAAATATGCAAGGGTAAGAGGAGAGGAAATATGAATGATTGGATCTCTCATTTTTATGTCTTGGTTAGATTCTAGACTGCACTTTTTCCAACTATACTAAGGACCATGTAGCTGTTGAGTGAGTGAAAAGTCTGGGTGAATGTATTTAATGTTGTATTTATTTTCCTTCTTTAGGATATAGAAAAGTTAAGGAAATGAACTGACATACATAACTAATTAAAGTCACTGTACACTGTGCTAGACTACTTTGACTATGACCTTCTGGCTGTTCCCAAAAAATGTTAAATCAGGGCACCTACTGAAGTTTGCAAAGTTATCTGCAAGAGTATTGGATACTCCTATTAAATTTTTCAGATATCACAAGTTAACTATATCATATTAAAACACACTTATATGATATTATGCAATATAGGCAAACAGATAACATAGCTGATAACGCTCTAGGAGGTTATTCTAATGTATCTAGGGAACATGCTTTAAAAATATATGCAGATAGTTCAGACACGTTTACAAGCATCTTCTGACTAAATGTGTTGTCCCACTAGTGTCGATGTAATGTGACCATTTCCAAAGAGGACACACTCAGTTCTAAAAGTAAAATTGACATGCACTTGCAATAGACATACAGACATCTTTTACCGTGTCATATTTGAATATATGAAAAATAGTTTAAATGACTTAAGAATAGAGTATTTTTACACTACACTGATAAAGCATTTACTATATAAATTTTACTACAAGACACACATAGCTACTGGAAATCTTAAGCCACACAGGCATCATCAACACCTTACCACACATACAGGACACTTCTCCCTTTCACACAGGTTTATATACACTGAGTAAGTCATTAAATATTGCACTTATTGGCCCATGATTCCTCAGTTTTGAGGTATTCAAAAAATAGAAAACATCTATTTTTATAACATATTTTCATGCAACATTTAAGACATTTCAGTTTCACAAACACGAGTATATAGGTAACACGTTCTGACAGTTCAACTGAGCCACGACACTTCTGACATTACTCACAAAATATTAAACAGGAGTTACACACAAACAGTTCATTTAACACTAGTTGCAGGTACATGTCAGAGTTACTCAGGTAAAGTTATCGACAGAAGTGGTACGCAATCCCCAGCTTTCATTAATGCATGTTATGCGTGAGCCTGAAGTTACTGCTCTTCTGCTTCTCCTTCATTGAATCAAATACCAGGTACCTTATTCTATAAATGACTAGCCACCTGCATGTGCTGGAGCCATGGAAAATAAACATATGGTCTACAGATGTAATCCCATGGATTTCTGGTGTTAATGAGTTCTGGATAAGTTTACTGTGGCATTTATGGAAAGCTGCACTTACTGAGATAAGTAGCAGTAGGAACTGAGTGAGTGTCAAAGACATACTGCTGCATATGCATACTAAATGTGTGTAGTTACAATTCTGACTCAGTGAATATCCATGGATAAACAAAGTAAAATAAAAGGAAGGAAAAATAAAACGAAAACAAAAAACAAATTTGTAAGGTGAACTGCATTCACCTCTTCTTAACAAAGAAACTGGTAAAAGTTGTTCAAATAATTGAACTGAGTTGCCTCTTCAAATGACACTAAACATATGATGAATCTTGGAGAATCTGAAGTCAGACTGTACTGAAAAGCCTACGTGTATGGATTAAACAGTGTAAATTAACAGAACTCACTTCTCTGTTGGCAGAAGTGAGATACTGCTTTACACTCCCTAAGTGCTGATCTATAAGTATTTACTACTCAGGGTCTCAAACTGCTAAGGCTCACCTACTCACTGTCTAAGAAACAGGCCAAGGAGGAAACTGTCTTAACAGTCGTTCAGCAGGACAGTAATTTAGTTGATGCCCTTAAAAATACATGTAATAAAACTTGCCTCTCCCAAAGAAATATAGAGAAGAGTAGTTTGTGGGAGAGATTGTTTTTTTAGAATGCAAATGCAGCATCTTTCATCTGCTGTTACAGAACAGAGGAATCATCACCAGATGTAGAATTTGTACCACCTTTTTTTCCCCTAAAATTGAAAATTCAACTCAAAGCATTCTCAAATACTGGGATCAAATTCCAGCAGAATTTGTGTATCATGACATACTTTGTTCCTGAAATAAAGAAGGTGCATGTGGTACAGCTGAATGTACAAAGCTGAGTAGACTGGGAAGAAAGTTTAATCTTTCAGACTGACGCTCTGGAAAGGCCACAGACATGTAGTTGCTCAGGTAGTTTCTCTAAGCATTGCATTAAGTAAAAGCACAGAGGAACAAACAGTTCCAGGTAACGGTCACGTACACAACTGTTCAGAGAGAATATTTTTTGACAGAAAATCCAGCTAGCTTATATGTATTTCAAACACCAAACCAACAGATCTAAATAAACAAACTACTGTAACAACAACAAAAATATACTAGTAAATTAGCTATGCTATAAAGACTGGAATGCTTGTGAACATCAACTCTTATCAAAATCAGAAAAGTATCTGAAGGTTAACTCAGCAAGGCTTGCTAGCTCTCTGGTGCCAGGAGGCACTGCAGAAGCCACCTGTGTCTTGTGTTCCCATGTGATCCCAAGACATTTTCTGAGCACTAGTTTTTCATACAGCAATCAATACAATATCAGAGTATGATAAGGCTTCTGTACTATCCATGCACACAATTAGCTTGCTGCTAAAAGCATCAGTATAGATCATAACTTGGAAAATAGTTTGTGAAGTGACGGTTCAGCTGGCACTATGGAGCTCAGGAGTCTCTGACCAGAGGCATCTAAACTCTCAAAAATGCAATATGCTCTCTATGACAACTGTTGTATCTCATCAATTGGCCTAAATTTTGGTGAAAGAGGTCATTTGTGACTGGAATGTAGCTCCATGACAATCAATCTTATTTCTGTGCAGAGAGAGACAACAAATTAGTGAAAAGTCTGTGAGTACTTCAAAAACTGTGAGGCTGTAAATAATTTTGGATATCTTGTCCCTAGGTTTTGAATTTAATGAACCAGACTTCTTGTATCACTAATATATTACTGATCTTTTCTCTTAGCAGAACTGTGTCAAATACTGCTTCTCCTCCAATGACTAACTCATAATCAGTGACTACAGGATAGGGATGAAGAATGATCCATTAGTTGTTTGAATTTTGATCCTTGATTAGGCTTGGATGGAATTTCCAAAATATTAAATAACACATCTCTTCTTGCATTTAAGAAAATTGCAGTTCTGTCTCAGAATCAGTTGTAATTGAATTACATTGACACATGCTTCAGTTGAAGACTCTGTGCTATGTAACAGTGCAAAGCATAATTTCAAGTAAAATGCAAATTCTACTCCTGTTGGCTTCCACGGAACTCAAGCTAAATTTTCATCGTGCTTGAGGAAGGAATAGTAAGTTACTTCCAAGAAGCCCTTCTGTCTTTCATATTCCTCTGCAACAGCCAGGTTTCACCGTAAGAAGGTGAAGTATCGAGAGCTCATGATGCTTGTCATCTGAATCTGACCAAAATTTATAGCAGAAAACTCAATATTGCTGAAACATGGCTTCAAAAGCCAACCTATTCCACTGGTTGGAAAATCGAAACTTGTTTTTCCAACAGTAGGTAAACCTGACTGTTGAGAAAAGTTCTGCTTGAACATCCAGAAATGTCAAATTTCAGAGGAAGGGAGGGTAAGATAAATCTGGTTGGATGGGACATAAGCAGGTCCCAGCCCAGCCTCCTCAAAGCAGTGTCAGCTGAGAAGTCAAAGCAGATCGCCCAGGATTTTATCTAGTTTTGTCTTGAAAGCCTCCAAGGATTTGATGTGAACACATTAAAAGTTAATCTGAATAATTCTGAATTCTATGGCAACGTCAATACAAAGAACCTAGGAGTTCTTACATAGTCGTTAGGCCCTGCATTTCTGCTTCAGGTGAGCCCTTTCTCGTAACATGTGGCAGTCAGTCAGTGTTACTCTGGCAGCTGCTTCCCCCAACCTCCCCATCCCATACAGAAGATCAAGTATGTCAGAGGCTAGAGGTTGTACTTGTCACAGAGCAAAGGTGAATATTTGCACTTGTAGCAGTGCTGCATGATCCAGACAGAACATGCCCAAGCTCTTTTGTGTTGATATTCTCCATTCACTTTACCTCGCCTGAGGATGTAATGTCTCAGGCACATAATACAACTTAAAGCTTTTCTAAATAAATGAGGGCTGCTGTTGATTGCTGTCTCAAGGATGTTCTGCTCACTTTTCTCCAGTATATATAAATGAACATAACAAGCACAAGGAAGGAAACTGGCCACCACCTCATGTAAAGCACCCTTGGTGTCCTATCACTTCTTTTATCTAAGCAGCCAGTACCCAGTGGGTGAAAAGGTGTCACTGAAAGTTCCCCAGCACAGTTGCCAACATGCTGCCTTAGACATGGGAGAGAAAAGTACTGCTCTGTAGGAGGCTGGTTTATGGTATGTGTAACACGTGCCTCTTCTGCCTGACCGCTCATCAGCTCCACAGAGGACAATGCTTTCTCTTCGTGAAATTCAGCAAGTAAAAGTTCATCCTCCATGTCTACTAGGAAAATAGGTGTTTAAAGAAACTTGTTAAGAGGACGTAAGTTTTAAAATCCTAGAATGAAGAAAGATCATTTAAGTTAGGCAGCCAATGTTGCCCCCTGGTGGCCATTCCGTTTTGCGTGTGTCTCTATATGCCTTGCTTGAAAGTCGTTTTCACCATGTCGAAGTTAATATCAGTTATTTAACCAGTTTAAAAAAAACAAAAAAACAAAAAAACAACAAAAAAAACCACAACACAAAACAAACAAAAAGAAAGAGAAAAAACAACCAAGTGTCCATTTTCCTCAGTGTCTTTCAGGAGTTTATATGAATAACCTTTGAAAACAGGAGTGTGTACAGAGGGATTTTCAGTACCTTCTGTTACTTTCACTTTCTAATTTGTCTTCCTATTTTTTTATTTTTATTTTTATTTTTATTTTTATTTTTATTTTTTTATTGCAGACAGTTAGGGAAACGTCAGTCTTGTCTTAAAGCCCGTCTGCTAGGAACAATAAAACAGTTAATTCCACAGTTATGCAGTTTAGCTTAAAAATGTCACTGTGACAGAAATAAAGGTGTTGCATGAAGCACTATGTACTGGACATAGATGTGCCACCAATTACCATTTTAAAACTTTAGAATATGACTATTTTTATTAAATTGATTGAAACAGAATTTGTTTGTTGTACTTTATTATGCCTTTTTGTGTGTGTGTCTGTGTACTTCACAGCTTTTCCTGATTTTAGAGATACATTCATTTTAACTTAGGAAATGATAACTATTTCTTATTATTCCTAAAGTTATTTTCAAAATATTGCCAATCTGTGATAGTCCTGATGAAAAATATTTCCTCATCAAAGAAAAAATGAGGTCAAACTAAAGCTCATTGACATCAGCAACACATCTACATTAGATCTGAGTGAAATTAGTAACCAGTATGGTGATGGCTGTCCCAGTGACTGAATGGGACATACAGCTCCTGAAAGCTTAAGCATGCAGGTTTGACAGCAATGTGACAAGACAGTTTTTGGCTATGAACAACTGATTGTGATGGATTTGGCTTTCTTAGGGGTAATATCTGAACAGTGTTCAATATCTAACACCGGTGGAAAGAAAAAAGAGCTGGTCAGACCTCTTCTGCTAGGGCAGAAACTACCAGGATATCTGCATGTTGGAATGAGAAAATGAGTAAAGTTTCAAAAGGAGCTTAACAAACAAAAATGTAAGCATAGTAGCTAGTTAGCCAGGATGAAGTATCTAATATCTGTGAGAATCTGCACGAACACCCATACCCATACCAGTTGGAATCTCAAAGGAATGGCAGGTAGCTTGAAGTCCAGGAAGGCTGGAGGTCTGCTCTTTCTAACTTCTACAGTTTCCAAGCACATGATGTGTAGCATACTGAGCCCAGACTTACTCAGGCAGTATGCTCAAGGAAGTGTTCCTTATAAATGATCTAGACAGAATGACTGATTGGCTCTTTAAAGTAATATTTCTAAATACATTTTTGGTCAGGAGAAAATATAAAATACCTTGGCCGCTGCCCTAAGTATTCAACTACAAAATTTGAAACCAATGATGCAAGTCACATGGCACTAGCTGAAGTAAGTATAATGAGAAACAGTAAAAAGAAAAGAGAAACTAACAGCCATCCTGCATGCAAGAGCCAGAAGCTAAAAAACAGATTACTCTTTCAAACTATTAATATCCCCATCTTCGTACATATACTCAACTAGATGCTAATGTAGAATAAAAGATTTTTCTCCCAAATAAATTACTAAGACAGTATAAATAAAGGCATATAGACCATTCATAAATACTCTGTTGGCAACAGAATGCGCTGGAGCTGCCTTTGCTGGTAGCCGCATTAACAGCCACAGTTGGGTTGCTGTGGTGGAGGGCTGTCCTTTAGTCGTGTGTTCTGCTTGCCAGCAGTGATGTTGGGATCTGTCTCCAGACTTTCGGACATTTTGTCACAGATGATATCCACAAGTCGCTCAAATGTCTGCTTGACATTAATGTTGTCCTTGGCACTTGTTTCAAAAAATTCAAAACCTAAGAAAATAAACAACACGTGTATGTTTGATACATATTTGAGAATCTCCAAGCAGTGTACAGACTTCTCAGCACAGATGTGTGTGCGATAAACAGAAAGTAAATATGTGAGAGCACACACATAAATGAGTGATATTGCAAAAGCAGTTAAAATTATAACACAATCAGGGCAACTACATTAGTGTCATTTGCTTCATAACAAGTCAGATAAAATCAGATAAAATACAGACTAGACCAAATACATTCCCTTAAACAAATTATACTTTGAAACAGTTTCATATAAAAACTGACACCAATTTGAGAATCCTATTAAACTAGAAATGCCCTACATATTCAGCCATTGTGAAGGTATAATCTACTGCTGTATCTCTAGCTATTATGCTTCTCTGAGCATTATTCAGCTGGAAAAAGCCATTTGTATCAATTCATTAACCTTATGCCAAAATAGACAATTATATTTGGAAACAAGCAGGTAAAAAAGCAAACAAGGCAAGGAAAGCTTTCTGCAGTTTGTTTCCTTGTAGGTAAATCTGTGGGGAAAAATCTGTGTCCATGTCTGGAGCCCCCAGTACAGGAAAGATAGAGATATGTTGGAGAGGGTCCAGAGGAGAGCCACAAAGATGATCAGGGGATCAGGGGACTGGAGCACCTACACTGCAAAGACAGGCTGAGGGAGCTGGGCTTGTTCAGCCTGGAGAAGAGAAGGCTGTGGGGTGACCTATTGCAGCCTTTCAGTACCTAAAGGCAGCCTATAAACAGGAGGGGAGTCAACTCTTTGAAAGGGTAGATAACAACAGGACAAGGGGAAGTGGTTTTAAGTTGAGGGAGAGAAGATTGAGGTTGGATGTCAGGGGGAGGTTGCCTGCAGAGAGAGTGGTGAGGTGCTGGAACAGGCTGCCCAGAGAGGTTGTGGATGGCCTGTCCCTGGTGGTGTTTAAGGCCAGATTGGATGGGGCCCTGGACAGGCTGGTCTGGTATTAAATGGGGAGGTTGGTGGCCCTGCCTGTGGCAGGGGGCTTGGAGATTCATGATCCTGGAGTTTCCTTCCAGCCCTGGTCATTCTGTGATTCTGCGATTCTGTGAAAAACTGGACCATCACATATAACCAATAAACAAACACTTTTTTTTCTTTTAATTCATTTATGGAGAAAGACTTTTTATCAGTCCATTCCCAATGATTACCTCAAAGGCAATGAGAACTACTGTTAATACAGGAGCCTATACGGAGCAGAACTAGCTTTCCTGAGCTCCCTTGTCTGCCCTGGTTTGTCCCATGTCTTATTTCCCATGTCTGTTCCCTGCCAGGTTTGCAATTTGCTGTTCTGCCTGCAATACAGGAAGTTTCTATCAATGTCAGGTCTTCTCTATTCTTTCTCTCCAATTCCTTTTTTCTGTTTGTTTGTTTGCTTGCTTATTAGTTTACTATGTCTCTTTCTTCCCCCTTGCGGACTATGTTACATATTTTTCTCATATTTTTCTCATTGCTGACTTGAGGGTTTCTTAGAAATTTAGAAGTTTCTACTTCTGTCTTTCCATTGCTCAAGGTTTCAGTAATAAGAGAGTTTACAAAACATCTATTCCACTAGTAATCTTACAGAAGTTACTTCATTTTTGTACATCTATTTTGATTCTTTTTAATCAATGCTGAAAAGCAGTGTGCCCCTACTGCTTAATGTTTAATCAGGAAATATCAGTCACTTCAACTCCTGAGAGAAATGCAAGAAACAGATTTATTATTTTTGTTGTGTCAAGCTAATCTTCTATTTCCAAAGGCTATTTGAAACTAAAATTGAACTGCTCAGATAGTATCTGAACAGGATATAATGCATATGTGCACAGTCCTATAACCGCTTGGCATGTAGTTTTCGCATACCTGGAGATAAAGCAGGTAGTTATATCCAGCTTGGCATGATAACCCAGTATGTGCAAATAGCCAATACAAAAAGTTAACTCTGTGTTCTGAGCATTCTTCATATTTTTAATTTATGTTAAGTGCCTTGTGCTAAGAAGTCAGAAAGTTAAATTACTTAGATGTATAGGAGCTAAATGCAGGCCAATGTTGGTGCTCATAGGTAGTTTAAATAACAAACTCTTGCACATACAAACATCATAAAAGGATTTAGTCATGTAATGGTAATATCAGGAAGAAATATAATCTCACAAACATGAGCTTTTTTTCCAAGCACATTGGCTTGAAAAATTTTCTTTCCCACATTTCTCTTGAATGCAGGAAAATTGTGATAAAAGACCAGTTATGGAAATCATATACTGGGAGGTGATTTTAATCTAAGTCTCAAACCAATTGTTTGGTTGCTATAGATTAGCAACCTTCTTCTAATGTAGAAGAAAAATGTGGAAAGCCAGTGTAGCCTTATTTGCTGATGGCTTCAGTGCTTCCATGGCGTTCCATGCAGGAGAAAACTGTTCAGATCTATTGGGAGCTGCTTGGTGAAAAGGAGGTCTTCCACATTTCCACTGCTCTGTGTCAAAACATGGCTATGGCTCTGTGATAGAACAGTGCAGTCAGATCTTCCCACAGCTGCTGCCATCTGCTGCACAGGAAGCAGGAGGAGAGTAGCTGTTCTTATGAGGTTTGATTTGATTTCAAAGATATATATGTGCTACAATCCCAGAGGATGACTGCAGGCCATTATTTCACTCAGACTCTGAGAGTAACCTGACCTGTCTTGGTCAGGGAAGGTGCTTGCTGTGCTTGTGCAAGCTGAATCTGGACCATGGGCATAACTTCAATAAAATGGCATGAAATCTGGAGTCTTGAACCTTGGCTTCTGGGACCATCACATTGTATTTACAGTACAAATAAGCCACAGCTGTGACAGAATATCATTATTACTGCCAAGATAACAGCTCTCTCTCCTGATCATCAACCAGCTCCATCACATCCCATGGTCTCATGGGTAATGTGTCAGAATTTGTGCCCATTGCATGTTTCTCCTCTTTTCAAATAAATAGAAAGAGATGAAACTGAGTATGAAATGAAAAGAGGGGAAAAATGCCTTGTAATCTGTCTAACCCCCAGCAAGGGTGTTGCTTTGATATTTATTACATTCCCTGCCAGCTCCAACACCTTTCAAGCAGAAAAAAACCCTACACTTTACTGTATGAGTAACAGTGATCTGACGTGTGGAAAAGAGATAGCATAAGCAGTATGCCCTCACTATTTGATGCAATGTGAACTGAAAGAGGAGAGATAAGTATACAGGCAGGACAATAGGGCAGAAAGGCTGACGGACAATTAGAGGATGCCTGAGAACTGCAACACCAAGGCCTCTGAAATGACAGAAAGAATGAATCTTTAAGCTGAGCGGTTTTTAAAGGCAGTAACACAGAATAGCTGGCACAAGAGATGATCATAAAATGGCAGGTGATGCAGCTAGACAAGTGATCTGGGCAGTGGAAACAGAAATTGGAAGGAAAAGAGTCACAAAGATCACACAGGAGATTGATGTCAGAAAATACTGTAACAGAGAGATGATGAAGACAACAGGTCCACTACCACAGTGAGGGTGCTCTGCATTACACTGAAAAGTGGAAACCCTCTTTTTCAGAGTAATATAGGGACTTATGGCATATTCAAGCACAAATATATTTAATATTTATTCAAAGAAAAACACAACAGCTGTGAAGAAATCCGTGGAATTGAGTTATGGTTTTGTTACAAGAAGAAAATTACAGTTACAGTAGCGGTACGGTTGGGTATGAGGCAATGCCTGTGTATACATAGCCTCTGTCTACTTTTTCATTTCCTTTGTGATTTAGAAACTTCCCAACTTGACCATGCAAAGATGAGATGATGCACAGACTTGAGACAATGTTCTGACTTACGAAAAGGTGACTAAATTCCCACCTGTATCCACAACAAAGTACTGAACTTATTCTGTATCTGATCTATACGGATACAAATTTCAGTCACTCAGGAGCTGGTTCCTTCAAGCAACCCTGCATACAGACCAGTTGATAGCCACTATTTCTATGTTTATATGTGTTGATAACTACTCTGAATGGTGAAAATGGACAATCCAGTAGGCCCCTCATAAATATTTCCTGCTGTATAGAATGGATTCAGTCGCACACAGGTAACGTAATTGTAGATGTTCTGTGAAAACTGTGCTTGCAGATGCAGAAAGGGTCACACAGAACAGTCTTTTGTAGTCAGTTAAAAGATGTTTAGCGTACATTTTAAAATAATCACTTTCAACTTATTGGCATGTATTGGAGAGCAACCTTAGGACCAGCTGAATTACAAGAACTCATCAGAACAACAGTTCATAGAGACTCATCTAACACAGCTGAAGAAATTCCTGTATGGCTCAGGACTGGCACCAGTTTTCTTTAATATCTTTATCAGTGATCTGGATGAATCAGTCCCCACTCACTAAGTTTGCAGATAACACAAACTTAGGGAAGAACACTGATCTACTTGAGGGTAGGAAGGATCTGCAGAGGAATCTGACTAGGCTCCATGGATGGGATGCATCCAGCTCTCTAAGCGAAAGCTAAATGCTGAGTGCGGCACTTGCATAGTGGTGGTGTAGGCTTAGGGAAGTTTGGCTGGAATGTTGCCCAGCAGAAAATGACCTGGTAGTGCTAGTTGACAGCTGGCTGAACAGGAGCCAGCTGTGCAGCCAGCTGCCCAAGAAGGCCAGTGGTCTCCTGACCTGTATCAGAAAGCGTGTGGTCAGCAGGCCTTGAAAAGTGATTGTTCTTCTGTCCTCAGCCCTGTGATACAGAATGTATCTCAAGTACTGTGTCCTGCTCTGGGCTTCACACTACAAGTAGGATGTAGAGGTGCAGGAACCCATTCAGAAAAGAGCAACAGAACTATTAAAGGGACTGGAAAGCAACTGTGAGCGGCAGCTGAGGGAACTGTAGTTGTCTGGTCTGGTGAAAAGGAGGGGAGACCTCACCGCTCTCCACAGCTACCAGAAGGGAGGCTATAGCAAGGTGGGTGTTGGTCTTTCTCTCAAGTGAGAAGTGAC